GCTCCCCAAAACAGACACCCTTGTGAGGTAGGTGGGGCTGAGAGAGCTCTTTTGAGGACTGCCCTTGAGAGAACAGCTCTGAGAGAACTTGTGACTGACCCAAGGTCACTCCAGCAGCTGCCTGTGGAGGAGTGGGGAATCAAACCCGCTTCTCCCAGATTAGAGAACAAGAAGAGATTGGATTTATAACCCGCCCTTCGCCCAGAGTCTCAGAGCAGCTTACAATGTCCTTCCCTTCCTCTCCCCACAACAGACACCCTGTGAGGTAGGTGGGGCTGAGAGAACTACTCTTGAGAGAACAGCTCCGAGAGAACTTGTGACTGACCCAAGGTCACGCCAGCAGCTGGATGTGGAGGAGTGGGGAATCAAATCCGGTTCTCCCAGATTAGAGTCTGCCGCTCTTAACTACTACACCAGACTGGCTCTCAAACTGGAGGAGGACCCTGAGAGAAAGAGAGGGAGGAGGCACACACACACCCCTGTCCCAGCGCGCGAGACAGCTTCTCCCCACCTCCTGAGACAGCTGGATTTTCTCCTGGACCCAGCCCACGTCGGAGGCTCTGGCACCTCGCAGCTCTTCCCACAGCACGGCCACCTCCGTCTCGGCCTTGCAGAGAGCCTGCTTCAACTGGGACACCTCTTCTCGTAGGTGCATCACTTCCCAACGGCGGTCCACCAGCTGCACCTGCTTCTCATCCTGCTGGCAGAGAGCCTCGTGGAGCTCCTTCTCATTCTGCCTGTGCAGATTCAGGGTCTTACTCAGTTCCGCCACCTCCGCAGCGTGGGAATCTTGCTCAGCCTTCAGCTTGGACTCCAAAGCCTCTCGTTCCCAATGGTGGTCCACCAGCTGCAGCTGCTTCTCATCCTGCTGGCAGAGAGCCTCGTGGAGCTCAATCTCGTTCTGACGCAGGTGGGGAGAAAAAGTGTTCAGAACGGCTGTTCCAGATGACAAAAATGCCCCCCCCAACCACAGCAGGGAGCCTTCACAGGCAAGCCAAACCCCCCCCCCTCCCCCCCCCCCCACCCCAATTCTACTGTGTGAGCTACTGGCATTAAAGTTGTGAGCAGACGATTTGACTACTGCATACACTAGTTTGCTCTGGAGCCCTCCTTCCTGAGATAAGGCAAAAGTGTGTGAGCTGGAGGCTAAAAACCTGTGAGCAGTGTTCCCTCTAAGCTGAGTTAGTGTGAGCCAGCTCAGTTTTTTAGCCTCCAGTTCAGACATTTTTGTCTTTGCTCAGAAAGGACAGCTCCAGAGCCAACTAATTTATGCAGCGGCCAAATTGCTCGCTCACACCTTTAATGCCGGTAGCTCACAAAGCAGAATAATTGCTCACGAGACTCCACAGCTTAGAGGGAACATTGCCTGTGAGCCAGCTCACACTGACTCAGCTTAGAGGGAACCCTGACCCCAGGTGTATTGGGGCACCCATAACCTTCCATGTCCTGACCTGGGTGCCCCCGGCGAACCCGATCTCATCAGATCTCAGAAGCTAAATAGGGTTGGGCCCTGGTTAGTCCTCGGGATGGGAGACCGGCAAGGAAGCCCGGGGTTGCTGCGCAGAGGCAGGCAACGGCAAAACACCTCTGAACCTCTCTTGCCTTGAAAACCTTCCAGGATCATCAGAGGCTGGCTGTGTGGCTTGATGGCACGATCCACTCCATTCCCCCAGGCACGCCTTTCTCCGAGCCCGTTGCTGCAGTCGCCCCAAACGCTGGCAAAGACTGGAGCCAGCTTTTGGCTACAGCACAGCCCCCCCCCCAATTTACAAGGCCCCAGAACTTTTACAAAACATGCCCCCCCGCTGCAAGCAAGAATCCCTTCCCCTTCCCTCCTTGTCAGAGGCCATCTCCACCCTCTTCGCAGAACCTGGACAATGACCCCGGGCAGGGCTCTTTTTGTAGAAAAAGCCCAGCAGGAACTCATTAGCATAAAAGGCCACACCCAACAGCAGGAGCTCATTAGCATATTGGGCCACACTCCTGACAGCACAGCTCATTAGCACATTAGGCCGCACCCCCATGTTACCAGAAGTGTGGTCATCCAGCCACACCCACCTTTTGCTTGTTATTCTGCTTACCTTGTTTGTTGTCCAAACCCAGGGCCTTTTTTTGTAGCAGGAACTCCTTTGCATGTTAGGCCAAACACCCCTAATGTAACCAATCCTAATGAGTTCCTGCTGTTGGGTGTGGCCTATTATGCTAATGAGTTCCTGCTGGGCGTGGCCAACTCGGGAGCCAGCCAGAACTCCGTTCCTGTGCGTTCCTGCCCAAAAATAGCCCTGACCCTGGGTAGCTGTGGAGTGCGCACAGTGGTGCGGGGGGTGTCCCGGATCCACCAAGCCCTTCCTGGCAGCTCCGAATTCTTCCATATCACCGGTGCGCCCTCCGCCGCCGCCCTGCTGGCTCACCTGCCTGTGCAGATTCAGGGTCTTACTCAGTTCCGCCACCTCCGCAGCGTGGGAATCTTGCTTAGCCTTCAGCTCGGACTCCAAAGCCTCTCGCTGGTGCTCCAGCTGCAAACTGTGGGGAGGAACGAGAGCAAGTTGGGCCAGGATCCAAAGAGTGTGTGTGGAGGGGGGGGGGGCTTGAGACCAACACTCCGTCTAAGCCGTGGAGTCTCGTGAGCAAAAATCCTACTTTGTGAGCGACTGGCATGAAAGTTGTGAGCGAGCGACTTGGCCGCTGCATAAATTAGTCCGCTCTGGGGTCATCCTCCCCGAGCTGAGACAAAAACGTGTGAGCCGGAGGCTAAAAAAATGGTGAGCTGGCTCACACTCACTCGGCTTAGAGGGAGCACTGCTTGAGACTGCCTGGAAAGTGGCTGTGTGCCACCTCCTATAGTGATGTAATGTCCTGGCCCCACTGCTGGACCTCCTGATGGCACCTGGTATTTCTGGCCACTGTGTGACACAGAGTGTTGGTCTGGATGGGCCTTTGGCCTGATCCAACATGGGCGTCTCTTATGTTCTTATGTGATCAGAGGAAGGGGCATTCCGGATGTGCTTGAAATGCCTTTGAAAGGTCACGCGGAGGAACCGTAGTAGAAGAAAAGCCACCACAGAGGAAGCAGCCCCTTTTCTGCAAGGCCAAAGCGACAAGGCAGAAAGTCCAGGGGCATCACCCACTGCACTCCCCCCCCCCTTCAGGAAATACAGAGTGAGCCGCTCCTGGGGAGACAGACGAGAGGAAATACTTCTTTACGCAGAGAGTGATTCAAATGCGGAACTGACTGCCAGAAGTTGTTGTCATGAGGGCCACAGGCATAAACAGCTCTGAAAGGGGATTCAGGTAGATTTGTGGAGCCCTGGGGGAGCCTACTAGCTCCGGTGGCTGAGGGGAACCTCCGCGTTCAGAGGCGCTCATCCACTGAATCCCAGGCCCGGAGGCAACATCAGGGGAAGGCCTCGGCCTCCGTGCCCTCTTGTTGGCCCTCCAAAGGAACTGGTTGGCCACTGTGTGGGGCAGGATGCTGGACCAGATGGACCTCTGGCCTGATCCAGCAGGACCCGATGACAGGGTGGGGCCAACTGCCAAAGGTAGCCCAGTGAGAGAATTCTCTTAACCTTTCCTTTACAGCTTTGCGATTCCAAGCTATGAAAACAGCCCTTTCGGCTGGCCGTTACTCGCATACGCCAAAAGAGCAATGTCTCTGAATTTGTGGTTTGCCAGAGGTGGAGGACATTCCTCACTATAGGCTCTATGGTCCGCTTTACAACACTCCAAGAGAGAAATTTTTAGCAGGAATTCTATTAGGTACGCAAGCACTCCCAGAAACCAAGAAGATAAGGGGATAAGGGGAGCCGTGGCACAAGGGATTTATCCTCTGGTTAAAACATCTGAGCTGAACAGTACTGCTGTCAGTTTTAGCCCCGTGCTGGTGTGAGCTACCAGCCTTGTCCCCAGCTCGCCATCCACCCAGCGGTTCGAAAGCTTTGGCGAGTAGATAAAATGGGTACCACTCCTTAGAGAGAGTGGGAACACTAAAAAAAACCCAGTGGGGGAGGTGTTAGTCGGCGAACGGAATGTCCAGCGCGTAAGATCGAAAGCCTAGAAAGAACTCTTCGACATCAAGAAAGCCTGTAATGGGCCGTCCGGCCAGGCGGTGGCAGTGCTGCGCTGCAACATGAAGCTGTCCTGGAGGAAAAAAGCTGACGACATCAAGCCACGCTGAGGGAAAATGCCGTTGGAACATGTCTGACCCTACAGCTGAACAAACTCCCCGTCGAGTGCGAACGTGTGTGATTTGAAGATTTATATCTTGTCTTCCCTTACCCCTTTGAATCATTGTTAGCCCCGTGTGTATATAACTGTAAATCGCTCAGAGCCAGCAAACTCTGCAGGATTGAGTGATCAATAAATTGAAAGATTATTATTATTATTATTGTTATTACTGTTATTATTATTGTTATTAAGATTGCATGCCTGCTCTCAGACAATGATGCTTATCTATCCCATAGCGTTTCCCTGTCTACTTTAGCAGCATCTAAGACTAGATCTAAGGGGCAGGCTACTTGATGGTGATCAAGCCTGTTTTATTCTTTTTTACCACAGACCAGTAGTTAATTTTAACCCGGTCACTAGGGTTGTATTTTAACGTTTTTAATGTTTTATGAATGCCCTGCTGTATTTTGTTAACGGCCAATGACTAAATACAATAAATGACTTGACTCTTAACCTTTTCCCTCTCAGGTCCTCTTTGCACGCAGAGTTACAACACCCAACACTTCCCAGCTGCCCCCCACCCCCGAGCAGAGCAAGACTCACATTTCCGCTCTCAGGCTTCGCACCTCCTCTTGCGCAGCCTTCTGTTGCTGGGTGGTCAGGTGGCAAATCTGGTCAGCCACTTCCTGCAGCTCCTGGATGCTGGCCGTAAGCCTCTGCTCGACCTCTGGAAAGGGACAGAGGTCAGGGACCCTCTTGCACCGCCCAGCACATGACCCCCCTTCAAAATCTTGGCAGCCCTGGGCAGGGGAAAGGGCTGGTACCTTCTGGTTTGGGTACAGCAATTGTGGTGGTTTTCGTGAACGCGCTGGTCTCGCTGCCAATGCTGGGACTCTCCAGATCTGCGAGGAGGGGAAAGTCCGAACGTGGCATTTGCCAAAGAGAGAATTAAGCACCACGGAGGAAGAAGGAACCATGCAAGCCCCACCCAGAAAAGGAAGGCCAGGAGGGAAGGTGAGAAGGGGTTCCCCCCCCATCTCTTTCAGCATCTTCCACGGAACACATTTACTCAGCCTGCCCAACCACCCTGGCAAGTCACATTTCACACATGGGGGACAAGTGAGGCAGAGAGCCATCAGCTTTCCAGTCGATACCCTGCTGGGGCCTGAACTCTGGAATGCCACATCTCAGCTCAACAGCAGCTTCCAGGCGCCCTGACCTGGACAGCTCAGGCAAGCCCGATCCCATCAGATCTCGGAAACGAAGCAGGGTCGAGTCTGGCAAGTACTTGGAAGGGAGACCTCCAAGGAATACCAGCAATCGGGAGGCGGGGGCAGGATTTATTCAGCCACCTCTCTGAATATCCTCCGGGTCCCCACTAGGGGTCAGTCACCAGAGATTGACACGACTTCCACGTGCACGCACGCACATATTAAAAAACAAAACAAAAACCCATCACCTTCTAGGCCACATCGGTTCATGTCCAGAGGCCCAGGTGAGGAACAGCAGTCAGGAAATAGCATGCTCCCTCTGCCACCCAAGGAGCTTGCAGTCTACGTTTTGACACCAGGGAGGGGACAATGAAGAAAGGAGGAACCTGAGGGACGCCAAATTGCCATGGCAGCCCAGAGCAAATTGGCTGGAGAGACTTCGGGCCCCACCTCTCTCCGCCACAGCACGCAAGACGCTGTCTACAAAGGAGGCCCCCAAGCTGTGCAGTGCCTGCCGCGCGGGAGTGCATGTCCTGGTCCCCGGGGTCCTGTCAGCTGCCTGCAGCAGAGGAGGAAGAGAAGGACATGAGGACCGCAAAGCAGGGCACACTTTCCCCTGCGGGCGTTCTGGCAAAGGAGGGCAGCGGCTGCCGGAGAGAGAAACTCCCCCTGGCTCCTACCTCCTCTTGCAGTGAGTCCACAAGTCCCAAGAACTGTGCCTGGACCATCTGAATCTCTAGCAGGGCCTTGCAGAACTTCTCTACGCTGCCTTGAGTGCTCAGGAGCTCAGCTTTGCAGGTGGCCAGCTCCCTGCAGAGAGCTCCCTGTTCCTGCCTAGGAGGCGTGGGAGCAGGAAGGGGGAAATTGGAACATTTTTTTTTAAATAGCATTTTATTGAGTTTTATATATTTTTACATCCTGTATTACTTGTTAGTTGTATACAGTATCTTTCGACAGCATCTAATAAACAAGAATAGAAATGTTCTCCATACGTACAATACTTGTTAATAAAACACAAAGTCTCTATATTTATGAGGTAGTGCATATAATCGGGGTTGACAAGCAGTAAGATATTCAAAAAACACAAACCATTTTCCCATAAAATTATTAACACCTTGCGGATTGTCAAAAGCTATTAATTGCATAGCGATTTTATCTGAAACTACCAAGTCCCACAGTTTAGATCTCCATTGTGATAGATTTGGTACCTTAAATAATTTCCAATTTAAGGCGATTAAATTTTTTTGCAGCCATTAGCATAGTAGAAATTAACTCTTCGTTCTATTTAGACAGTTTCAGACCTGGCCAAAAATGTAACAAAAGAGATGCAGGTGTATTTGGAATCTCATAGTTAGTTATTTTCTTTATTTCAGCAATGACCTTAGTCCAAAACTTTTTAATGATTGGAACATTTCATGGCATGATCGTACAGGCGGAATCAGAAACCCACATGAGACCTCCCCCACACCCCCCAAAAAAGAAAAACCCTTTCTTTGATGGGGAGAGAAACTGTAGAACACTGGAACCGAAGGAAGCATAAGGCACAACCAGGGCCTGTAAAATGGACCTGCTCCACCAGGGCTTTGGGTGAGGCAGCGGGCGTCCAATGATTCCATCTACTGGCCTCCCCCTGCTGAGTGTCTAACTTAGCTAGAAATGATAAGGTATCTTTTGAGACACAAACAGGGGTCATTTCCTGCAGTAGCGCACAGGAGCGGAGCTCTGGCAGTAAAGAGCCCAGGGGCGGGCACATGCAACAAGCCCCACCCTGTGCTCCCAGCAGCCAGCAGTCAGAGCCAGAAGCAGCCAGGTAAGCTGCAGAGCCCCCCCCCCCGCCCCAAAACAGTCCAGTGGCACCTTTAAGACCAAGTTTTATTCAGGTACAAGCTCTCCCTCCTCTGCGAGGACAGATCTGCACGCCCCCCCCCCCCAATAGCTAGCAATCCAAAACAGTCCAGTGGAGCCTGAGCAGTGGGTGTTGCCTTCTGACACACTTCCGGTGATGTCAGGGGGTGTGGCATATGCAAATAAGTTATGCTAATGAATCATGCTAATGAGCTCCTGCACCTTTTTTTCTACAAAATGACCCCTGTGAAGACCCACACTCGGGCCTAGCGGCTCCCGTTCTCAAGACTGCTATACCAAAACTGCAGTGCCATCTGTGTTAGGTTAGCTCTATTTTAATCTGTTTTAGCTATTTATTGAGAAATATTTACTATGAAATGTTTTAACTCCTACTGTGGATTCGCTGTTGTCATCTGCTCTGAGCCCGCTTGCGAGGAGCGCAGAATATAAGCTGAAATTCATAATAAATAAGCTGTCCCTTCCACCCCCACCAAGCAATTTTACAGCACGTAGCAAAAACCAGCATAGTATAGTGGCCTGAGTGCCCGAATGTGGAATGGTGAGACTTGAGTTCAAATGCTGACTCAGCTATGAAAATCGCTTGCTGGGCTTGGATCAGTTACTCCAGTTCTGGATAGGAGCCAAGGGTTGGCGCGAGGACACAAGTTTTGCACACTGGAAATCCCTATTATAAATCCCTGGCATGTCCAGTGAAAGAACCTCGTAGCAGGTGTTTGGCAATGGCTCACCTGGGTCTCCCTTGCCAATCAGATGAGGAACAAATACTAAGGTGGTATAAGGGGTTGACTCTGCATATGCTCATGCCTGTAAGGCTATGTTGCAGAACTTGTGCAAGCGAGGCAGAATGCAAAGTATAGAGACAAATCTGGGGGAGGAGATTGCTTCCTGACCCCTCCCCTCAACCATGCCCCGCCCCACTGAATCCACGGAAAAACTGGACAAAGCTTCAGCCCACTCAGACCTCTGGTTTATGGCGACACACTAGCGGATGTGTCCCTGGTAGCTCCCGGGGAGGCGATCCGTACACCAGCAGCTGGGGGGGGGGGGGGTTGTCCCCCACCCCCCCAGAATTTGTGATAGGTTCCTAGCCATGGGGCTTTTGAAGGGTGGCCTCTTTGCCAGCGTGATGCTGGGAAATTGAGGCGCTCTTCCGCCCCGATGGTCCGGCCGTTGTGCATCCGTAATGGAACTTGAGCCACCAACCAGGACAAGCGTTGGAGATCGGGCGTTTTACACGTACCTTTGGCGAGGTCTTCGGACCAACAATGAACAGTGAGTCAAGTTAAACGAACACTGGGATTTTAAAAGAAAGCTCCCCCGGGAACAAGACCGGCGAGCGGGGGAGGTGCCCCTCCCATACGCATGAGTGAAATAGCGACTTTTTAAGGGGGAGCGGAAGTATAAGCGGGGAAATCTGTTTTGAGAAACACACCAGAGCGCCTATAAGCGTTGGGATGAATTGTAGAGACTTTAGCAAGTTCTTACAAAAGTAAACATTCCGCCAATATGGCAGGGGGAAAAACGGAGAAAGAAAGACAAACGAAACGGGAAGTATGAGCCCATGACCAGAAGATACCACCGAGTTTTCTAAATTGCTAACAGACTCTTTGCGCCCTCTACTGGACCAGATGACGGATATCAACCAACAGCTGATAGCATTAAATCAGAACTTTGCAGCTCAGCAGCTCCAGTTGAATGAAATTAAAAAATTGTCAGAGCAAACAGCTGAAAAAGTGATAGAAATGGATACCAACTTGAAAAAGGTTAAAAAAAGGGTGCAGTCGCTGGAAAAGAAGCAAGTTTCTTCTGAATCTCAGCTTTTGCAGATACAAATGGAGAAAGCTAATTTTGTTCTTCGATTCCGAGTCCCTGAAACTCAAGACAAGAATCTAAAACAAATTTTGAGTGAGGCATTGGCTCCAATTGCAGATTTAAGCGAAATGGATGTGGTTTATAGAGCCTATTCTGTATACATCAAAAGAACAATCTGCCTGGAGAGATAGTGGTAAGATTCTCAAAGAGACATGTGAGGGACCAAATTTTGAAAGCAACATCAGGAGTACCCTTGAAAATTGGAGATAATATTATCAGGATCTTGAAAGATATCCCATTTGAAATAAGAAAGAAGAGGAAGGAATATAAAGACTTGATTTTGTTTTTACAAACAGCATCCCTTATAGATGGTTTGTTCCCAAAGGCGTCCTTTTCAAACTCAAGGATAAAAAAGAAAAGATTGACTCTGTCTTCAAAGTGCAGAGGTTTCTGAGACTGCAACTGGGATAATCCGGTGAGGATGGAAAAGAAGATGGAGACAGTAAACCTAGCAATACAGCTGCTTCTTCCAGTTCTACTTCCGACGAGGACTCTGCTTCTGAGAAGGGGGCAGTGGCCCCCAAATGTGAGTACCAATTGAGGATTAAAAAGGACAAAATAAAATGAAGGCTGAAGAACTCTGAATTGTGCCTTATAAGCAGCTGTTAAATGTGGATGCTCTTGTGGTTATCTCTGTGAAATTATTAATTATAAGAAATAATATAGCTTAAACAACCATGTTCAGTGTAATGATAGCATTTTAGACTAAAATTGATACAAGCTGTTGTAATGTTATCCTGTACTTGGGTTTTTAGTGGTTTTCTTTCCTTTCTCCCTTAGATGTAATTTCCCCCTCCCTTTTTTTCGTTGTAGTTTGTAGAAAAACACAATTAAAAATTCCCTTTGGGGGCAAAAAAAAAAAAAGCTTCAGCCCACTCAGACTGTTCCCTGTAGCTCAGTGGCAGAGCATCTGCTTGGCATACAGAAGGTCCCAGGTTCAGCCCCTGGTATCTCCAGTTAAAAAAATCTGGCAGTAGAAGAAGAAGAGAAGAAAAGATTGGATTTATACCTTGCCCTTCACTTGGAGTCTCAGAACAGCTTACAAACTTCTTTCCCCTCCCCTCCCCACAACAGACACCCTGTGAGGTAGGTGGGGCTGAGAGAGTTCTTTCGAGAACTGCCCTTTCAAGGACAGCTCTTGTCAGAACTATGGCTTGCCCAAGGTCATCCAGCAGCTGCAAGTGGAGGGGGGGGGATTGGGAATCAAACCCTGTTTTCCCAGATTAGAGTCCGCACACCTAACCACTACACCAAACTGTAGTGATGTAAAAGATCCTTCTCTGCCTCGGACCCTGGAGAGCTGCTGCCAGTCTGAGTAGACGATGCTGACTTTGATGGTCCAGGGGTCTGATTCAGCAGAAGGCAACTCCATGTGCTCACAAAAAAAGGAGGAGAAACCTCTGATTGGAAAAGAGGAGATGTACAAAGCACCAGAGGATTATAAACATTTATAAAGCAAATAGTAAATAAAAGCACATATTAAAAAAAAGCATAACAGAGAATGTGTACCTGCAATGCACTGACTAATCAAAAAAAATGTCCAAAGATGTATTATACATCATTAGCATGAGTAATAAACACCACATGAGGCAGAAATGTGAGTTATAGTACTCCTCATTGAACGTAACACATGGGTTCTTAAGACGTAATCCCCTAGGGCAGTGGTGGCGAGCCTGTGGCACGAGTGCCAGAGGTGGCACTCAGAGCCCTCTCTGTGGGCACGCGTGCCATAGCCCCAGCCAGGCCCAGACCATCATTAAAGTGTCTAATTCTCTGCCAAATAATTTTAAGTAAATGAAAGCATTTGGGATCGTTTTCCTTACTTTGTTTGGATCATCTTAAGTTAATGTATGAGTTGTTTTTTCTAAAGTAAAACCTCAGTATTCAGGTTAAATTGCCGTGTTGGCACTTTGCGATAAATAAGTGGGTTTGGGGTCACAGTTTGGGCACTCGGCCTCTAAAAGGTTCGCCATCACTGCACTAGGGTGACAATATCCTATGGGAAGAAGAATGCAAAAAGTTGGCACGTTCAGTGAGATGTTCTTTGATTCAC